AAAATACTTGATGAGAAGATTATATTTTCAAGTCCTGCCACATGTTTACATAGTATAACCGAGAGAGCAGTGACTGTAAACCAAGCTGATTAAGTCTCTCAGCTTTGCTGCAAACACTTGGTGTTTTTGTGCTGACCTATTCCTTTGGTTCTGTGTCAGGATAAAAATGTCTTTTTAACCTGTGATCTCTAGTTTATGAAATTACAGAATTTCCTGCTAGTCCATAATTCCGCTGCATGTCTGTTTTTTAACACTCCTTCATATTGCAATAAGGAAACAAGCTATAACAAATTTCTGCTAAATTGGTGCTCCATTCTTGAAATTATTACAGTCTCCCGTGGTTTTTTGCCTCTCTTGGAATTGAAGCAGTAGAAAGAAAGTTCCCTTTTACTGAGCGGTCGCTCCAGGTCACAGTGCTGGATGCTTGTGCAGGCTGCAGATGGGAGACACTTGGCTCAGCTGGGCCAGCTGGTGTGCAGGGCTGGCTTTGTTGCCTCAGGGGTATGAGGCTGCTGCCTGCTCAGTCCAGTTGTGCTCATAGTACAAAGCCCTGGAATACAGACAGTGGTGTGTTTTGAGGGGGGGACCAGAGGAAAGAGGATCTTCTGCTACTGGAACGTGCTTTTTGAATTACTGTTCTCCATGAAAAGGTGTGTAAAGTAGCATGCTGGGTTGTAGAATAACACTAACAATGAAAATTCAGTTCAGAATACCTCTGAATGTAAAAAGAAAGAAAAAATCTTTTAAACTGAGCCATCTTTCATTTTATGCTTACGTCACTTACTTCAGGAAAAGTACTATACAAATAGTTCAGAGATTTTTAACATGCTGGAAAATTTTTATATTCCTATCTGTAAAACTTCAGTCTTTCCAATCATTCATTTCAAAAGGTGCCCAGAAGGCATAAAATAGTTTTTCTATATCTAAAAGTGCAACAATATTGAATTTTTATGTTATTGGATATAGCCTGGTGGTTAAAAGAAAGATTGCATTGCAGCAAGAAACTGAGACTTGTCTTATAATTTTTCCCTCTCCGTTCAGACATGTGAGACATGATTTTAAAACTGCATTAACTTAGATTAACATGATGGCAAGCATGAAAATTTTGTGAAAGAGGTTAGGGTTGTTCCATATTTTAGGGGAGATAGAGGAAATGTTCGCTGTGTGTTTTGTGACTGTGGCTTTGGGGGGGGTTTTAGCCTCACTTTCTGAGCAAATGAAGCTGATGTATTGGGCAGGCCTTCCAGAGGTACTTCTCTCTTCCCATACTTTTGTAACACTGGGAGAGTTTCAGTTAATTTGGCAGGAAGGCAGGGCGTGTGGAGGGGAAAGTGCCCTGCTAATTCCTGCAGTGAAGGGGAGACTGCAGTGGGATGTCCGTGCTTAGTGCACCTCAGAAAATCCTCCGAGGTGTACATGCTGACCAGAAATCCAGAGAAGTCAGAATCACTGGGTTTGCTGCTCTCCAAACTGCTAGTTTATTTAAAATTGTGAATATTTGCTATGAGCTATTAGCAGGATGACAGAGTGGGGTGAAAGACTGTTGAAGTATCCAGAAGTGCACAATAGATAAGTCCGCCAGATGACCACATCTGACACATGTGAGTGGCCAGGACATTATTTCTGGCTGCTGTCAGTGATGAATTGACTCCTTGATCTTTCCTGGTCACGTAAAGGGGAGTTTAAAGCAGCGGGAACGTCGCGTTCGTAGGTGTTGGGGGAACTTGGATGCCGTGGTTGTGCTCACCTGACTGGCTGTGACATTGCTCACGTCCCTGCTCTCTGTCTTCCTTGCAGTAACATGTCTGATGCTCTGGCCAACGCGGTGTGTGAGCGCTGCCAGGCGCGGTTCAACCCCGCCGAGAGGATTGTGAACAGCAACGGGGAGCTCTACCACGAGAACTGCTTCGTCTGCGCTCAGTGCTTCCGGCAGTTCCCAGAGGGACTCTTTTACGAGGTGAGTTCTCAGGCTGTGTGGAGGACAGGAGAAATAGCTCTATTAAAATGCAAGGAATGAGGTGGAGATTCTGGCAGGTATAAGAATTTTTGGGCTTTCTTGCATGTTTAATGTCTTAGCCCTAAACCTCTGTTGCCATTTTTTTGAGGAGCTTCCAACTTAATTTCCCTTTTTTTCTTCTCATATATTCCCTCAGTAGCAGCAAAAGCTGCTCTTTTGGATAAGAGACACTTCAGAAAGAAAACTAAACGTGTTTCTTAATCATCATAGAATCATAAAATGGTTTGGGTTGGAAGAGACCTTACAGACCATCTTGTTCCAACCTTCTGCCATGTGCAGGGACACCTTCCACTAGGCCAGGCTGTGCAAAGCCCCCTCCAACCTGGCCTTAATATTTCATTAAACATGAGTGAATTTTTGTCTCTATTCTTGGACATTTTGGACCAAACTTCTCCAGTTGGGCACCTGAAATAGGTGAACCCATTTAAAAATTACACTGACTCTTTTTTACAGAATATACATGAGCACATATTATGAATACACGTTATTTTAAATGGACCGTATTTTTTTGGCACTAGTTTTAGCCTCGTGTAGTAGGAATAGTTCTGAACTCTACAGTAAAGCAAAAATTAAATTAAAGGCAACTATAGTAAAAGGACTTGGGGATTCTTCAGGATTTTTACTGTCTTATGGCAACATTGCTGTTAATTTAACTGTTTGCTGTGCAAATCCACCACGAGACTGAAGTCTGGATATTTCTTTAAGAAAAGCCTTTAGGAGTTGCAAAACAGGTGTGTGGGGGGGCTAAAACTGGAGAACTTGAGTGACCTTGACTAATTGGTCATTTCAATGGACAGTCATGCTGAACTGTCAAAATGTAGAAGTAGTTCAATTATTCATGAGGGCTCCTTCTCTCTTGTTTTGTTTGCAGTTTGAAGGTCGGAAGTACTGTGAGCATGACTTTCAGATGCTGTTTGCTCCTTGCTGTGGGGAATGTGGTAAGATGTGGCACATTTCAACAACGTGGGGTAACAGCTACAGGGCTGTGCAAACCTTCCAGCATTGCTGTGACATCCAGCCCTGGGCTGGGGTTGTTGAGGTCATTTAAAGGAACAGGAGCTCTGGATGGAAACAAAGCATGATAGCAGCAGTGATTTGGGGTATCCTGGTTGTAGGAATAATTGGGTTTTCCTCGAAGTTAGACTGTTAACTGTACTTGTGAAATTGTAGTGAAAGGATTATGAAGGCAGTAGATTTTGATGCCTGTTTTCTGATGCATCTCAAGCTGCTGCTTTCCTTTTGCAGGTGAGTTCATTATTGGACGTGTTATCAAGGCAATGAACAACAACTGGCACCCAGAATGTTTCCGCTGTGAGCTCTGCGATGTAACCCTTGCTGATCTGGGCTTTGTGAAGAATGCTGGCAGGTAAGACAGAGAAGGAGCTTGGAAAGTTTTATCAGTGTGTTATTGATGCAGCAGTGAGATGCTGAGAGTGGTCAGTTAGTTGTGCACAGAGGAAAAGCTTGAAAAGGTACAGGAGAAGCTTTAAGGAATAACCTTTTATATGGGAAATGGAATGAAGAGCAGTGTTCTTCATCCAATGAAACATGTAGAAACTCAAATTTTAGTAGCTAGTGGATGGGTTCTGGAAAAGAAAGGGATTTCAGGCGGAAGGAAGGGATTTCAGGAAGAAAGCTGAACAGTACATGAGAAAAAGGAATTATGTGATCCCAGGCAGGCTATTTATCGAGTAAGCTGCTGAGCAGGAAATCAGGATATAGAAAAAGGCCAAGAGAATAACACGATGATCACAGCAGTCTGTTCAGCATGTGATTTTACTGGTCTTCAGAAATCATTCATTTTATATACAGAAATATAAAAATGAGTCATAGAGGTCAATTAATACATTTAATTAAAAAGTAAGAAATAAAAACACAAAAGAGAGCTTATACAAAAGCATTCCATGATAAGAAAATAAAACAATCCAGCAGTTAGCAGACAGTGCACAATTCATAGTTTATTTTAGGCTTTCATATGTCATGAGCAAAGCCTAGTAGTTTATCCTAGAGTTTATATTTTCACTAGCTAAATGGTGAAGAAAGGAAGGAAAGGTTATATACTTGCATCCAGTCCAGCAGGGAGTCCTCTCAACTCCCTCTTCCCTTCCATTCTGTATGCAACTGCTGTGCCTTTGTGCCAGTTGGAGCTGGGCATAATTGATTTTTCTTTGACACCTAAGCTTGTTAGAATGGGCTGTTGGGATAGCACTTAAGATGTTTTGGGAAAGCAGTTAGGATTGGAGCAGTTCAAGCAAGATAAAGTATGTTTGATTTCATAATTTGTGGGCCAAATCTACGGTGGTAAAGAGCTTATAAAAATGTATTTCACCTCTCATATGATTTCCTAAAATATTTATCTCCATAGCATTGAAGCAGTCTTCTAGTAAATATTATTGGAAACTCTTGCATTCTTTTTCACCCTTCTTATTGTACCTGGTCTTCTCTAGTCTGCCTGTCAGTTCCAAGCATATTCTACATGATGCAGTTTGTGTTAGTGAAAATAAAGATAATCCCTGCATTATCCACAGGGAAGGAATAGTCTTGCTAGATAAGTCACAAAAAAGTTGTAAACCATTTTAAAGATGGGAGTCTCTTCTGGACCAAGTAGACTTCACTTCTTCAAGCACTTACTTTTCTTCACTTCTGCCATTTGGGTTCATATTTTTACAATTCAGTATGTAGCAAACATGAATGCTGTATTCCTAAACAGCCCTTTTCCACTCCTCAGTTTGAGGGTTATCAGGATATCTGGGGTTTTGCAGGGAACTGCATAAAAGAGACAGTGAATTAATGTTGTCCACCTGCTGTCTGCAGCTTTGAGACAATGGCAGAGTGCAGATAGAGAAGATAGTGAGAAGTTTTGTGCTCATCTCCAGCTCTGAATGCTGGGAAAAATTAAAAAAACCCACATTGTAAGGCCTGTCTTAATTCCAGTCCAGGCTAGGTTCACTGCAGCATTTGGTGTTTTTTTTTCTTGTCACCATTTAGTACCAATTTTCTCTCTACTATGTATAAATGCTTTGAATTTGGAGACTTGGGCAAGATGTGCTAGGGTGTTGTTTTCTCATCAGGCAGGTCTGTCTCAGGAGTGGATCTCTAGTGCTGGCACAATATGAAATTTTAGAGAAGGCTGTATGCATTGTGCAGAAGAAGAGTCGTTACTGAGTGCTTTGGGATTAAGTTCTTTAAAAAAAAAAAAAGGTCCATTTTCCTCTTTGCCCCTTTCCCTGTTCCTAAGTGCTCAACCCTCAGTTTCACATCTTGGAAATCAGTAGAAGTGTCCTTCTGTTTGCAGTTTCAGTAAGACAAGCAGATGTGATCTCTGTTGTCAGGGGAGTTCTTGCTAATTGCAGTCCCACAAAACCAACAGAACTTCCCTTCTCGGGCTGAGTTTGACTCTGTGTGGACTGTCCCACCAGCTATTTGTGCTCTCTGCTGCTTTTGGTGGAAGTGAGCGCCCTTAAGTCAAAGCAGTGACAGGAGTCACGTTCACAGTTCAGATTTAGCGCTTAGTGAGCTTTCATTTGTCTTACCCTCGTACGTTTGAGGCAGCATGACGGTCTTTTTGATACAGAACAGGTTGCACAAAGCCTCGCGGAATTTCTCGGCTACGAAAAAATACATGACTGGGTCGAGGGCCCCGTTGAGGCTGGTGAGGCAGGAGGTGACGCGGTTGCTGAGGGCCAGGGTGCGCTGGGTCTCACAGGAGGCTTTGGTGCCGTTGTAGTGGAGAATGTAAATGTAGCGGTTGACGTGATAAGGTACAAAGCAAATCAGAAAGATCATCAGGACCATGATGATCATTTTGACAGCTTTTTCCTTCAGGTGTTTCTCAACTCTGTTCCCACTCCTCAGGCTTCGGATGATGAGTAAGTAGCAGGTCACTGTGGTGACAAAGGGGAAGGTGAATGCCACCGCCAAGGACACGAGGGCATGACGTGAGGCCTTTTCTCTGTAGAGCTGCAGGCAGACGGTTGTGTTTTCCATCTGGACTGTCTGCACACTGAGCAGCAGAGGTGCCATTGCCACCCCAACAATGACCCACAGAAAGGCACATGCCACATGGGCATACCGGGACCTGCGGAGCTTGATGGACTTCACGGGGTGCACAATGGCCAGGAAACGGTCAATGCTGATGCACATGAGGAAGTAGATGCTGGCATACATGTTGAGGTAAAAAAGGAAGCCGGTGAGTCTGCAAGGGATCTCCCCAAATGGCCAGTGGTTACCAGAAAAATGGTAGACCAGCCGGGTGGGAAGTACCAGCACAAAGGACAGGTCGGCCACAGCAAGATGCATCAGGAAGATGTTGGCGGGTGTGCCTGACTTTTGGTCCCGAATGAAGAGCCAAAGAGCCAGGGCATTGCCAGCAAAAGCCAGGATGAAGTCCAGGAAGTAGAAAGTGGCAAAAAGGATGTTCTCCATGTGTGTCTCTTTGCCACATTGCTCTGACCTTTCCAGAGCAAAATGTGATTGATTTGAGCAATTGAAGAGTGGGCTTGAATCTGCTGGGCCGTTCATTTTTCCCCACAGTTTTGAAGGAAAAAACCCACCCTAAACCTGAAAGAATTAAGACAGTATATTACAAAAGAGCCTGGGTTTGTGGAACAAACCAACCAACCAACCAACCAACCAAAAAAAACCCCAACAAAACACCCAAAAAACTACACATGGAAACCAGTGATGTCTCCTGTTTGCTATTATTGGTGTTTAATGTGACAGGTCAGTCTGAGTATAAACCCTTATATTAAAATCCTGCATCCCCCCTGCCTGGCCAGGTTTTCCAGACCAGTAATTGCTGTGGAGGGAACCTTAATAAAGAGCTGGCTGGCTGGTGATGAGCTTGTATCCAACCCGTGCGAGGTCAGTTGTATAACCAAGTAGTGAGATGCTTGTGTCTAGTTAAGAGGAGTAGAAGTGGGTTTTATATGTCTAGCTAGAAAGTATTTGCCATGTTTTAATTTGAAATCCTGATTCAGGACTGAGGGGCTCCTAATGAGTAAGCTTTTCTGAGCACAGGTATATGTTGTAAGGTGACCTAGCTTAGAATATCTGTCTTGTTCCTAGAAGAGATGGAAGACAGGTCAGGTCTTGTTTTTATTAAAAAAATCTGCAGGGTTCCTGAAAATCTTTGAGGATTATTTTAGTCTAAAGTCCTGTATTTAAGGCAAATGCAGCTATTTCCAGTATAGTTGGAAAGTTTTCAGATGGGTAACAATATCCCATCTGACACTGAATTGACTTACAGATTATTAATAATGCCCATGCTGTCAGTCACTTGTCAAAGTGCCATCCTTCCCTACAGCTTTTCTCCCCCAGCATAGCTCTCTCTTTTCCTCCCTCAAAAGTCTGAGCTCCATGTAGCTTATTCAGGGCCTTTTCCAAGTAGCAGCTTAGTAAAACTGAGCTTAGCTTTGCCAGTCTGTGTTTGCAGTGTCCTGAACAGCATCAACAAAAAGTGATGAGATTTTCTGGGCACCTCCCCATGGCTTTTTATACACTGCTCATCAGTGGGTGTAGGTGGTGGGAAAATGCAGGCCATCTGAAATTCCAGCATTGTCTCTGTTTCTTGGATTCCTCAGAGGTATTACAGTATGTGCAGCAGTACCTCCATTGTGCTTAACCATTGCATTTTGTACTGACTGATCATTTCCCCATATTATTCAATACGTCTTTCAATATATTCAATATACAGTGCATCCAGATTCCCAACATAGCTCATTATTCAGATGTCTAAAAATATTGGGATAATCAAGAAATTGAAATGGGATTAAGGGCAGACAAATATATTGGAAAATGTAAGCAAAATTCCATATAATTAATTTTTTTTTTGGCTACTGTTACTTTCAGGGGAACAGAAAACAGGTTAATGTGCTGGACTGTTTCTGTTTGATTCACAGTTGAAGAGATAGAATCAACAGAAGGGGGACTGAATGAAATTCAGAAATTGAAATTTCTTCCTATGGCCACAGAGGGCCCTTCTTACTCCATGCATTGCCTGGATATCCTTCCAAATTTGAGTCTTAATAACAAGTTATTGTCTTGCCATTACTTGCAACTGCATGTGCAAGGAAGACTGTACAGCTCTTATGTCCAAGGGAATTTCATCCATAAAAACACATGTGAAATCCTGCTTTCATGTACTAAAGGAAAATGCCCTGTTTGCAGGTTTTTTGTATGAAGCTCGGGGGTTTGCAGAGAAGTCTGCAATTTTTTGTTTCTAGTGTTCCTCTGTCCCTTACCAAGTAAGACTCAGAAGTATTCTGGAACACAAGAGTTTGAAGTTTGTTTGTGATGGTAATGTTAACTCAAATACTTGTCCTCCCTGGATGGAATTAGTTTAGGCATGTGCTTTTCTGTTGCACACCAAAGGAGAAGCACAAGACCATGCCTATTTACTGTTAAATTACAATAGTGCCTATCACCTCATGTTCTTGCTATTAAGCCTTTTTTTGTGTCAGACCCATTGTTGAATTGTGCTTTTCATCTGCAAAAAAAGTCATCAGATGATGTTTATGTCAGTGGTGGGGTGGTCTGATGGCTAAACATTACTGTATCCATGGCTGTGACACCTGAGCAAGCTGAAAAGGCAAAAGCAAGGGTTGTCTAATGGAACAGACTGAGATGGCTCTTATCTTATTGAAATGATTTAAATCAGTTCAGGAAGAGAAGCAGTAAGCAGAGTTTTCCCTCTTTGCAAGCTTATTAGGGGTTTAGTAGCATGATACATTGAACTGATTCTGTTTGAGCCGAGTTCCTAAGAGGATCTTGGGGATTCAGACTCAGCTGAGTTTCAGTACCAGACTTGGAATAGGCAAGACTTGAAAGTTGAGAGTTTAATCCTCACTGATGGCAGCACTGGGTCTGCCATGAATTTCTATCCAGACATGGATTTCAGTGCAAAGTGTTGTGGGGTGGAGTAAAAAGGAGAATGTCAGAGCTGTCTAAGAAGCCCACTATGTCAGTGACAGGAAGAGAGAGGCTTAGAACTACTGATAAAATTGAAATAAATTCAGTCTTTGCAAATGAGTGCCTTCATAGGAGAGCTGCTCTTACCCAATTTACTTTTGAGAGCAAGGTGAAGGCAGATATTTTTCACTATCTGATTAAAAATCATAGAAAAGGGAAATGGTCCTCCTTCGAATTTTGTTTATATTTTAAATTAGAAGGAAATGTTAATTAAAGCTTTTATGTATTTTACAATTCTGCTTATTGGGTGAAAACTGTGGTGTAGCACTTGAGTAGGTTAGGGAAAAAGCTGATGTCAGTAGAATGAATTGCTGATCTTATTTTTAGAATTTATATGTTTTCAACAAACTGCTACAATTTTATAAAAGTAATCATTCTCTGACCAGTGTGTTCTGTAGACAGTGTTGAAAGCCCCTGCTGTTATGTGCAGTTCCACTTCTATTTTTCTTGGGTTTAGCCTATCAATTTAAAATAAATGTTTTTAGGTTTCTTTCTTCCTTTTTGGATTTTTGTGCTTACAAAAAAAGCACTGGGAGTCCTAGAAAGCCTGTCGTACTAGTCTGTATAAATGCTAGGAGCAAACTAGAAACCTTGCCAAATCACCTAGAATGTGTAATTTGTGTTAAGCTATATAGTGCAAGAGGCTGTGACTTCACAAACTCCTTTAGGAGTCTGGCTCATTATCCAATAATTTCCGCTTGGATTGCGCTCTTGGTGTTGTGTGAATATTTAGTGATTTATGTGTTGCTAAACAGAGCACTATTCTGGAAGGGCCAATTATCCCAGGCCTCCCAGGGTTGAGCTGTAATGGGAATGTCACTGCTCATTCCAAGTGTATGCACACTGACCATATTTTATGCCCTGTTTCTCTTCTGCTCAGAAACAAGCAAGATAACAATCCACAAGGCTGTCAGTGTGGACATAACACAATCACTCTCACAGCAGATGCTCCATCTGTCATTAATGAAACAATTAACTAGCAGAAGAAATCTGTAGGTCACTGTAAGTTTGTTACCTGGCTAGTTCAGAGCTCTGTTAGAACACCCACTGCCAATAAATATGAACTCTACGTTAGGGTTTGTGGTGGATATCAAAAATTCCTGTTCTTGCCCCCAGCTACTGTGGTTTCTGGTTTGTGATTACACTGTTTGTGTGTTGTTATGATTATGGATTTAGTGTCTTGTCAAATGGGAGTGCCTCCTATCTTTCACTCAGAGTACTCTTCATTAGAAAGAGTCTGCTTCTGACTGAAGTTATTCTCCTGAAAATCACTCCCTGCTGAGACCACCACCCTTCAGCTGAAATACTTCGTTAGTGTGAGCAGCAGAGCAGTGTCAGAGAGCACTGGACATACCATACAGCTGGCACAAATGGATATACATTAGGTACAAAAGTTTGGAAACTTTTTTGTTTTGAAAGAGCAATGTAAAGAAAGACAAGGAAATGAATCTTTGAAATTCAAAAAATACTGCCTATTTTTAGGTTCAGACATTTACATTATATTCAGCCATCTCATTATGTGTGTCTTTGCTCCTCACTGGCTAAGACTAATGATATTAGGAAAGCTCCTAAAAAATGCTCCTAAAGAAGAAAGCTCTTAAAGCCCCTTCTAACAGAATTGTGTCTCTTACCTCTTTACAGTGCAGTCCTGTGGGTGGAGTATAGGATCCTTTTGGGGAAAGTCTCAAGGAACTCCTGATGACAGCAAACCAAATAGAAGCAGAACCGAGAAAACGAGATGATTCCAAAAGAGTGCAGAGTTGCAGAGTTGCTGAGGGTGGAGAGGGAGGTCCTCTATATAGTGTCCTCCTCGCTCTGATAGTGCATTATCAGCTCAGTCACACAACAGAGCAGGGGAGAGGAGACCTCAGCACTGAGGAGCAGTCTTCATCCCAGCTGAGCTCTTGGCACTGGGGGTGCTGCTGCCTGTATAGATAGGAATATCCTGCATGAATATTCCAGTGTTCATGGTGCTTACTGAAGGCTGCTACTGAACTCCTAGCCGTGAACACAGACTCCTTGGAGTCCCTTGATTATTTTAGGAGGGTGGAGAGAAGCATTGTTTGTGGGAAATCTAGTATTAATAGACACAACAGGACATTTCAGAATGGGATAATTCCATAATGGTGGGAGTGGGGAGGGGTAGAGGGAGAGGGGAGGCTGCTATGGCAACAGCTTAGCCTGTCCAACACTTCCCTTTGCTTGCAATAGAGGAGGGTCTGTGGGAGGGCAGAGGGTTTGTGAGTGGGGAGGGGGTTGATAATGGTTTATCAGTGCAAGTGGCTGAAGGCATCTCATTCAGCTGAGTGAGAGGGGTCTCTTTCAGGACACTTGCTTCGGGGTCCCCATGTCCTGCCCTGTATAATTACTCTGCATTTGACAGTGCTGAATAAAATTGATGCCTTTATGCCGAGATGAGCACAGCTGCATATTTCCCTATAATGGGGTGCTGTCTGCTTTTTCTGGACTCTGTCTGGGCAAACAGTAGTTCCAGCCCTGGACAGAGACAGTTGCTGAGAGGAGGACTCAGATTTTTGAGAGAATAATAATGA